AGCCGTTCGACCCTCGGATTTGGGGTTGATGAACGCAATCCAGCACAAAGGAGGCATCGGCGCACCGGGCAGGACAGTGACACAAAAAGAGAGGCAATATCTGGGATAATGAACTGTCTGGGAGGAAGATGCATTCTTTCTTGGGTACCGCTCAACCACTCACCGACAGCCCAGGCCGCATATCTCTCCGTTTCACTATAAAAATGCCCCAAGATTCGAATCAGGAACAACACATAAAGTGAGAGATTTATATTGGAATGGCTTGATATTGGACAAGGAGTGGAGGTGAGAAAAAAACGCACTGAAGCTTAATATGCTCTTTTTTCATAATATAGAAGAGTCGATGGACAACAAGTCGCCATTCGGACACTTTAATATACAGCCCCTTTTCAGGTGATTAAACTCCACGATCACACACTATGGCTAGGTATTGTACCGCACCGTCGCGGTGGGACGCCAGAGGTGACAAATGAAAGAGCATCCGTGAGAAAAAAAGATCCGATCAAATTGTGCAATTAGACCTGAATCGAAGCGCTGTTCTTTTTTTTACGATCGCGCAGAAAAGTTGATGATAGGAAATCGGAAAACTAAGTTCGGAAGAGTTCAAATTGTGCTGCAACATAAATGATTCTCATTTGGGATTCTGTGCTCACATTCCCGAATGACCGCAAAATCTCAACTCTTCATAAGCTAAGCAGAGCCGACTACTTATCAACGTCTTTTATCTGCAACTCCGTCTTTACTTGTGCAAGCAGACGTTTTTCTTCTCAAATCTTCTTTTTACCTCTTTTCTGCTCCACAACTTTACCTTTTCCTTCATCCGCATTTTATACCCATTTCAGGCATGTCAACCTGCAAAAGTTTTTGACCTAGGATCACCTTCTTACTGGTCATTCACATACATATTTCAAGAGAGCTTTCGCTCTTTAGTCACTCTGAACGTCAAGTGGAAAATTTTCCAATCGATAGCGAATGATGCAACTTCCCCAGATCTTGGCAAAATTAGTTCAAGTCAAATTTTAAAGGGTATTCCAAAGCTTAACCGTCGTAGTTGCATGCAACTCATCCAATCAAATAGATAATTCAGACATAAGTTGAGAAATAATCTCCATTGATCTGCCCCTCAATAAATTGCAAGTGATTACCATGCAAATGATAAAAGTTCAATTTAGTTTTTATGTAGACACGATTGAGTGGATGATCATATCGTTCCTCCACCTCACAATTGCCAAGTTCACAGATCCCGTCTCACGGCGATATCGCTGCGAGCCGGGCGCATGGCAACCGCAGCTTTGCACCCAAGAAAAGGAGACAAAGAAGTCAATACACTTGGATGCTCAGCAATTAATTAACTCTCTCGACTATTTCATCAGTTCATTAAACCCCCAGCCAACGAGATATTGAAGGATTCGCCGTCCTATGCGCGCATCTCACGTGAATCAATTTACCAGTCAATGCGAAAACATCTCTTATTTTCATGTATGTAAATTATACAACAACCCGCGTGAAGACACGAGAAAAAAGCGCGCCAAAAAACTTCTGATCAATATTCTCTGCGCTTTCGGAAATTAAAAATTCAAGGACATCAATTGGACTTTAAGTGATGCAATCACAAAAGATTGTGATTTCTTCTGGCTCTCGCGCACTCTCCTCATGAGCGAATTGACAATGAACTAATTGCCGAAACCATGCGCCATTTCAAGCTCAATTTCACTCACATCAATTTCAGACAATTAACATTGCTCATTTGCCCGCGTGAGCGAAGCTAGGAAAGTTCTCTCGGTAAAACAAACATGCATCTATTGATGACACATATTTGTCCACTTAGCAATGACCTAAAAAAGAGACCAGACCGAAGAATATCAGTCACTCCATCGACGCTTTGGTCAACTCTCGATTACACGGACAATCGAATATTTAACCGCAATTTTGCAAGCGACATAATATCTGGAAAATTGATTACATATTATATACGAATCATAAATTAATGTGGCGAAACGCAAAAATTCAATTTGCACCACAAAGAAGCCCTCTCACAATCGTCCAGCACTCACTCATACTCACATCAGACGGTAACGCATTCAATTGACGGGAATTCCTCTCCTATCAGACGCTTTTCTCCCTGTGCGTCAAGAATTCCAATATTCAAATGAGTCGAGACGAAAATCACGTCATCCGCGCAACACAAACTCTTATTTTCATTTCATCAACAAGAGAAAAGCATTGCAAGAAAATCCATCAAATTATTCTTTCGAGGATCAAAACGCCTTTTCTCTCTCTCTCTCTCTATCTTAATCTTAATTTTCATGTAATGAATGAAAGTGAAAAGAAAAAAAATTCTCACTCATTGAAAATTCATACAAATAAAAAGTATGACTCACTCTTTCCACGAAGAATGCAATTGAGAATCGCTAATTATGATGGCAATAAAGACTGTTTATCTGTGCAAATGGGGATTTTTCGCGCCAAAAACACCTGTTGCTTCACCGCACGCGTTCGCTCATCTTCTAATAATACTCCAGTTGCCTTTCACTGTATCCTGTTGCACTAGAAAATTGGCAGAATTTACGCACTCGCAATGTGACCGGTTGGCCTTAACATGACATCAAAGTACGCATTTATTCTCAGATTAGAAGCAAGTGAGAACAGCTGAGATTCGCTAAGAAATTCACACATAAGTTTCTCCCAACATTTTTGTCATTTTCAGGAAAATCTAACATTAATAAATTTCTTACATTCAATAGTCATAGTCAACAGATAAGCACGAAGGTGAAGTTCTACTCAACAAAAATCCCTCTTAAAGAGCCAACTACTCTTTTCCTCTTCCTTCAATTTATATAAATATATAAGGAATATCTGCAGATTCATCACATTAACAAAACCATTTTCCATTTTCACTAATCACTTTGAATTTGTGTTAATAAATTCTAATCAAATTCAATATCAAAATCATTTTTAATGGCGTAAAAAATCATTAGTAAAGCTCAACAGGTGTTGGCATCGAACAAAATGAACCTTGAAAGTACAGAAATGCTATCGCCCTTTGCATTTTCCACATAACACGGACATTGAACTCTGCGTCGCAGCGGAAAAAGTTGATATTTTAAGGAATTTGCAGAAATTGTAGTGCCGAAAATTGATATTTCAATTTTGGGTTAATTCAAGAGAGAAAGTCAATTTGGTCAGTTTGAAATTCTTCGAATTGATGATAAAAGTGATATGATTAGTATAACATCAGTTAATCGCGATAATGCGCGTTTTTTTCCTCACTTAGTGCGACTCGAATGTGAAGAGAGAAAGAGCAAAACACCAGCTGTGGCCAATTGACATTGGCCTCAATGAGGCGTCAAAATAAATCCAAGAAATGGTTCATGCGATGGTGTAAAATTTGCATGAATTTTGGCATGATTGAATCTCTTGGCTCGGCGAAAGAGAGCTCTCGCGAGACCCGGAGATGGCCAATGTCAGCAACTTCCAGTTCAGCCTGAACCGCTATATTTTCACCCACCGTCACTCGCTTATTTTTCACACTCATCATGCTCACAGATTCGCAATATCGCATTGTATCTTAATTGACATGGGCAATATAGCTCAGATTGACCCGAAATGCCGAGCCGCGCTTTGCTATGGCCAAAAAACACCCGCCAATTCAATTTCATTTTCCTTGACCATAATATTTGACATTTGCACAACTCTTTATTTCCATTCCCACCTCTTTTCTCCTTCTTCTCCTCTGCCAATTTTGCCTCTCATCACTATCTTATTTTCGGAGCAATTGCGCGACAAACACATGTTGCAAGATTGTGCACGAGATTCTCCCTAATCCAACGCCCTGCACTTTATCAAATCTCTCACACATTCCCAGTGCCTCTCAATCGCCCAAAAACGCCTCTCGCTTCACTGTCTTGGGCATAAAATCGAACTAACCAATTCAGATCATGGTCAAAAGATTTTTTGGAGTTTCGCAATGGTGTCGCCTGTCCACAGATTTTGCCTCTTTTGCGCCGGTGGACAAAAGAAGCGCGATCACCGAAAATATCGAGCGAGACGGAGCGACAGAGACGAGAAATATTATGTATGAAATGCTAAATTTTTTGGGTCACATCATACACATCGCCCAACACTTGGACTCGCCGCACTCCAAAATGCTATACAACGTCACGCAGTCATACTGATAATCTCCTGATAATCCCATCACCAGCAGGTGCGCGTCAAATGGCACAATTTCACTGCTGAAGCCAAGAGAAACAGGGATCAAGTGAATAGTAATTAATAGTAAAAGAGAAAAATCTTAAAATCAATATTTCATGTTTTCTGCAAGTTTTCTTTTTTAATGATACAGGAAACAAATTCATATTTGCATAAATCATTGCAGGAAATCAAGGGATTTGAAATTGTCTCTTAAATAAGATTTTCACGGAATTAAAGAAAATTTCATATGAAAATACCCAAAACGTTTACAGAACAATCATATTACAGTCCGAAAATTCACTGAACTTTTGATTTATACATAGTTTCAGTTAATGTGAATAAGAAATGTTTTGTGAATGCGCAATCTAAGATCAATGAAGACTCTGGTTATGAACAGACACAAAATACAATGAATCATTTGACTAAGAATTTCTTGGGTAAATATTTTGTCCCTAATGCTGAGATTCCATCAAAATAGAAAACACACAACTAGGAAAAATCATGAATAAATCTGTGCATTGCATTACAATCTCAAGAAAACAACACACAAATCTCTATTTTCTATCATGTTGAATGGCTAAAATAATTTTGCCGACCCTGATCAAGAGTTTTTTCAGATATTTCCGCGCTTTTCGCGTGACTAAATTATTTTTGATCAGGAAGAGCATTGTGCACATTCGCCAATAGATATTTTAAGCACAAATCACAAATGGTGATAATTATTATGTCAATGATCTCTTTGTTTGTTATCAAGAATTCTGGCATTTGCGGCCAGATTTCTCTGCTTAAGTCAAGGGAATTCCACTTACTTGGCGATTGACTAGGCCTTCCTCTTCCGCAGGACTAGCCTGGTGAGCTCCACGCGCAGAGCGAGGAACATGAGGGAGATGTTCTTGATGTACCACGAGATGTTGTAATAGACGTGAATTTTCCAGTTCCTATCCAGGAAAGCCTTGTAGAAGACGCTCATTTCGTCAGCTGACAAGGTCTCGTCTGGATGCTTCCTATTCGCGGCGATAAACTCTGTCCTCTCCGTGAGGAACTTCTTGTTATGATGCGCCCAGAATTTCTGATTGTACTCCTCGATTTCCATCTGGAAGAGCCTCAATCTCTTCTCCAGCGGCGTCTCATCCTTCTTGATATGCCGCACTATCGGCCGCAGATTTGATCTGAAAAAACAAAAAAAAAATCTGTCAGATGCTGAAGATTCGTGGTAATTTTCCGGGATTTTTGCTCACAGCTTATCCGGAGGACCCACGAAATCATGCTGAATGAGGTTGGGATTCGGAGACTCCTTGAAACTCGCCGTTCCCGACGGTGTCACCCCGCTTGAGCGCTGCATTAGGAATGCCAGGTAAAGATTGAAGCGTAAGGAATCGGATGATCGTGTTTTTACCGCTCTTAAGACGACTGTCGGAAGGATTTTCTGCAATTTTCCTCTCAACATTATTTTCAGCCGTGCACTTTCACTGAGAAAAACAAACCACTTTGTGAACTGTAGCGCCACTTGGCGGATTATTGTGCAAACATTGTAAGGGGAAATTTTGCAAAATTGACAGATGTATTTTGGAGGCAATTCGCAAGTTTATGTTTTTCTTTTGATTTGAGTGTTTAGTCGAGTTTCCACAAGTTCTCATTGCGGAAAATGGAAGATTCGGTAAGATTGTGCTCAAAACTAGTATGGGTTGATGTAATGATTTAGAATCTGATCTGTTTTTGTCCACTTGATCTTCCTTGACTTCTTACGATGCTGATATTGATTCTTTCAGCTGGATTTGACGATGGATTCGGATGACGATGATGCTCTCCTAGCTGCTGCTGAAGCTTCGAAACCGAGTCAGCCTTTTGAAAGCGTAGAGCAGGGTCAGGAAACTAATGCCCATACTGACTGTTTGAAGAATATATTCGGCCACGATTTCTTCCGGCCATTGCAATGGCAAATTATTCGATCAATTCTCAACGAGAAGAGAGACAATTTCGCTGTTATGGCGACAGGATCCGGGAAATCTCTATGCTACCAATTCCCAGCTGTTTTTGCGAAGAAGTTGACGCTGGTAATTTCGCCACTTATATCTTTGATGAAGGATCAAGTCGATGCCTTGGAGAACAAGAAGATCAAAGCAGTTTTCCTCGGCTCAGCGCAGAAAGATAGCAATGCTTTCAACGACGTTACAAAGGAAGACTGCCGACTAGTCTATATGTCTCCTGAATACTTCTGCAGTGACAGATACAAAGCTGATCTCGATAGCCTGGCGGAACGGCTCATCCTCGTGGCCGTCGATGAGGCTCACTGCATCAGCCAGTGGGGCCACGACTTTCGACCGGCGTTCAAATCACTCCACTGCATTCGAGGGAGGTTTCCTGGAGTTCCCATCCTGGCACTGACTGCGACAGCGACACACCAAGTTCGTGAAGACATCGTGAATTCCTTGTGTCTGACAGATCCTCAGTACAGCATCAGCAGCTTTGACCGACCGAATCTCATATTGGAAGCCTATCCGAGATACGAATCGTCTTTGCGGTCTCGTCTGATGTCTGCCATTCAAGACGCTTCCGGCGGAAGCGTCATAATTTACTGCATTTCGAGGGCAGACACTGAAGAAATGGTAGTAGATTTGGAGAACTTCAACATCGCAGCTGCAGCTTATCACGCTGGACTAACGATGAATGAGCGCACTAAGGTGCAACAGGATTTTTACAATGATAGAGTGAAGGTAATTGCTGCTACCATTGCCTTCGGCATGGGAATCGATAAGCCCAACGTGCGACTTGTCGTTCACTACGGATGCTCACCGAACATAGAGGCGTATTATCAGGAAATTGGGCGAGCAGGACGAGATGGTGGGACTTCTAAGTGCATCCTGTTTTACCACGCGAAAGACTTCTGGGCGCATGAATTCATGTGGAAAAAGCCAACACGCGGCGCTCCCAAGAAGACAGAAGAAGATTTGGTACGCCTCAGAGCTCTTCAGAAACACATAAAGCAGTACGTCTATGTAAGATCCTGCCGACGCAAATTCATCCTCGATTACTTTGGCGACCCCACAGCTTCAGATCTCAAGTTCAGGAACGATTGTTGCGACAATTGCAAGAATTATCCTTTGCTTATGACACACAGTGATTATGAGGAGCTGGATGACAAAGGAATGTATGACTTCACTGAGGAATTCACTGCTTTCCTAAACGCTGCCAAGCCCAAGAGCGTCACTCAATATGCAACGATGCCACAGATTGCGTTGCTTCTGAAAGACTCAAATTCGTGCCAAATATTCCCGAGACACAAGGATGACAAGTGGTGGAAACTCGTGGGAAAGATGCTGATTACACAAGGATATCTCGTGACTGAACTTCTCAATCTCGCAGCCGACACAGGAAGAAAGAATTTCATCACTATCATAAGGATTACCGGAGATGGACAGATGTGGGTTGACGGAAAGCAGAAAGCTGTTCTCCATCCAATGAAAGAAATGGAGAAGTTCTTCACGAAGAAGAAGAGTGTTTCTGTGGCGCCTCTCTTCACCCTCAGCTCATCTTCCAGTGCTTCCACTTCTCGCACAGTCGCTAGCGAGTATCCTCCGGCCAGGACAAATGCTAATGTGGTGTCGAAAACAATCGAAGAGAATCCTTCAGCGAAAGCCACTACATCGCAAGCGCTGGAGAAATTGAAGTCTACTCAGAGCTTGACTCAGAGTGACTCTGCTCAGGATGTCAGTGTCACACACGGACAAGATAAGACTGTAACCTTGGGCAGGAAGCCCGTGTTTGCTCCAGTGCGTTATCTGGCCGATGACAGCAGCGAGGACGAGGCAGAGACTAAGGAGAACGTCCTGCCCAGACAAATTTCTGTGCCACCGACAGCGAAGAAGCGCCGTCAGAATCTCAATTTGTGATTCAATACTCATTCCATGATTCATTTTCTTATTCACTTTTTTTTTGTTTCTCGAGAATATAACTGAAGTTTACTCAAAATTGCATTCTTTGATCACCTGATCAGCCACAATCTGCCGTTGAATATCACTCACGCCGCCGTAGATCTCCGTGATCCGAGCGTCGCGATACAGTCTCTCCGCCGGCAGGTCCATCACGTAGCCCATCCCGCCCAGGATTTGCACACAGTTATGGGAATTGAAGACGGCGCACTCGCTGGCCGCCAGTTTGGCCATGGAGCTGAACTTGGTGCTGCGGCCGCCGGGCTGGGAGAAGAGGAATGCTGCTCGGCGCGTCAGCAGCTGCGCTGCCTCCAGGCGAAGGCCCATGTCGGCGATTCTGGCCTGGTGAGTACAAGTCATTAAGACCTGATATGAGCACTTATCTAAAGCTCTTCATACCTTCACAGTCGGCATCGTAATGATGGACTGTCCAAATGCGATTCTTGAGGTAGCATAGGATATCGAGAGATCCAGAGAAGCCCTTGCAATTCCCAGGGCTTGCGAAGCAATCCCAATTCTGGCCAGATCCAACTGCTCCATGGCAATCTTGAAACCCTCCCCAATTTCCCCGATTACATTCCCTTCAGGGACTTCCACATTGTCCAGAACGAGGGTGCAGGTGGAAGTTCCTCGGATGCCCATCTTCTCCTCATTCCTACCCACACTCACGCCTGGCGCGTCCAGAGGCACGATAAAGCCCGCGAGTCCGGCGTGTTTCAGACTCCTGTCGACTGAGGCGAAGACAACGGCCACTTTGGCTTCCCGAGCGGAAGTCACCCAAGCCTTGGTGCCCTTGAGAATCCACTTGTCTCCCTCCTGGCGAGCTGTGGTACTCAGGGCTGCCACATCGGATCCGGCATCTGTGAAAGGCAGTCGACTTGTATTTCACATTTCCCGGGATATCAGAGTCTTTCTCACTGAATTCACTGAGGGCGAAGGCACCGAGTGAGGAATTCAGCACCAGAGGTGCCAGGAAGAGCTTCTTCTGCTCCTCTGTTCCTCTGCGATCCAGAAGATTGGCATACAGGCAGTTGTGAATGGAGACAACAGCTCCAGTTGATGAGCAACCGCGTGAAAGTTCCTCAACAGCCAGAGATAGGGCTAAAATATCAAGTCCAGCACCACCAAATTGACGATCCACACTCATGTACAGCATTCCCTGACTGCCCAGCTTCTCAATCAGCTCCATGGGGAATCTGACCAGGAAGAGCCAAGAGAAACCGTTGCAAAACGCGCGGACGGAATTGCCGCCAAAATCTCACCTCATCTCCCTATCAATTCTCGCCGCGATGGGCATCAATTCCTTCTCGGCAAACTCTCTGCACGCTTTCTGCAGCAGCTGATGATCCCCAGACAGCGGAGTCACCGTGAAATTTCGATAAGTTATGCAAATACCGCCGCGACTGAGGCATCTCCCTGTGCAAACACTTCTTATCATCTGCACTTTCACCGCTCACCTGCCGGGGCGGATACTCACACAATCTGACTCCCTGGCGTTGACTCAGCATAATTACACCACCATGCAGCACTCGGAAGAGGAGAAACGGACAGGATGGTGGGCAGACGAGGACTGGAAGCTATGCACGCGATCAGGTCAGGTGTCAACGCTGTTTCACCTTGCTTTCCGTGAGGATCGCTGCGAGCACACTGCGATTTAGTATTCAAGCGCGCAACGAACACCACTCGCTATCAGTTGAATAATTTATTGATAAAAAGCACGAATTACTTTGCAGACGACTCTTGCTGCTCAAACTTGGGATACTGTGCCTCGATCTCCGTCCACAAGCATCTGCCGACAGCCAGGCGACGCACGACATCGGCAATTTCGTTCACCTGAAAAGAGTTGGATGGAAATTTTGCCCAGCGAACTTAGCATAATTCTAGAAACCGGAGTCCCAGAATGAGAATCTTGTTTCCTTTTGCCGCATTGGTGTATAAAACTAACATAATAATACAGCATTTCACTCACCGGAATCCTCACTTGAGCCATCGAGTCCCTCTCTCTCAGAGTCACGCTGTGAGGCTCCTTCAGCGTATCGAAGTCAATCGTGATCCCGTAGGGAATGGCAATCTCGTCGGTTCTCGCGTACCGCCTGCCGATCGATCCGCTGGAATCATCCACCTTGTGCGACACATCGCATCCGGTCAGCTCGGCGGAGATCCTCTTGGTGAAGGGTGCGAAATCGGGATTGTTGCTCAGCGGCAGAATCGAGCACTTCAGCGGCGCCACAACTGGCGGCAGTGTGAAGTAGCATCTCTGCTCATCGCCCTCGCGCACGCGGAATGTCTGCTCCAGCAGAGCGTACATGATCCTGCCAATGCCGAAGGACGGCTCGATGACGCTGGGAATGATCTCCTCCACGTGCACGGTCTTCGAGGACGTCTTCACGCTCACCATGTCCTTCGTCAGTTTGGCGGAGGTCTCGCCGAACGGCAGATCAAAGGCTCCATCCTCGTTGAGGGAATTCTCCAGCGATTGGAGATCCGAAAGCGAGAGATTCGCCAGGGCGTCGACAATGGCTTTGGCGTCTTTCTTGAACACCTTCCCGATAGCCGGCTTGTTGGGCACGGCTTCCGTCACATCCATCGTCTTAGGCTCCGGAAGGCGCTTCTCGGCCGCCAGACGCACTTTCGTGGCGTTCGTGTGTTGCGTGAGATCGAAAGCGGAGCGATCGGCGCAACCGACGCACTCAATCCAGCCATAGCTTGTCAGGCACTCCGCGTCCCAGCAATCGCATGCATAGTGAGCCATCTCGTTGCTCATGTGCTGCCGGAAGCGCAGACGATCAGGGCGAATGCCCACCTTGAGTAGGAACTGGTGAATGCGCGCCATGAAGTATCCCAGCGTCTCATTCGCCACCAGCCCGGCGGCCACAGCGTCTCCTATCGCCACCACTTGGCCACTCTGACCATCCATCTGATTGCACGCCGAGTAGAGCATCATCTTGGTGTCTTTCACGTCCACAAACTTGGGATGATTCTTCTCGCGCGGATCACAGAAGTGCTCAATTTCCGCCATTGTAAATTCTCGCACGCGAATTAGGCCTGAGCGCGGGGAGATTTCATTGCGAAAGGCGTTCCCGATCTGCGCCGCGGCAAACGGAAGGCGACCCTGATTGAACTCCAGCAACCTCTTGAAGTTCACGAAGATACCTTGAGCAGTTTCAGGGCGCAGAAACCCTTTTATAAGTCCCGTTGGCCCAATTTGCGTGCCGAACATGAGATTAAACTCGATCGGCTCGGTGAGGTCATTGCCAGTGGTTGGAGACTTCATGTTGAACTTCCGGAGAATCGCTGCCATCTCATCCTTGGACATCCCGTCGAGTTTCACGCAGATCTCTTGACACTCCGCCTTCAGCTCGGCTGTGGCGGTTTTCTCCGCAGCCAGCTTCTCCAGCGAGTTCTTAATCAAGTGATCGAGGCGGAAGCATTCGCCCGACTTCACATCCTTGGTCATAAGATCAGCGAATCTCTCCACATGCCCAGAAGCTTGCAGAACGCACTCGGGCGTGAGAATTGAGCAGTCCACTTCCAGCATTTGCTCCTCCAGGATGAAGAACTGTCTCCAAGCGGCCAGCATGTTGGCCTTTAGAGCGCAGCCCATGGGTCCGAAGTCGTATTGTCCGGAAATGCCTCCGTAAATGGCGAAGCTCTGATCATAGAAGAATCGTCTTTTCAGCAAGTCTTCCATCCTCGAGCGATCGAACGTCGCGGCCTGAGGCATCAGCTCCAACTCCTTATCCTCCAGGATTTTTTTCCGGGCCTTCAGCTCCGCCACGGCGGTCTTCACGTCCAATTCAGGCGCCCCATCGGCCTTCAGCTGTCTCACGAGGTCGCCCTGCAAGAAAGCCGGACATCAGCATTGCCTCTACTTCTTCAGCATCACTATAGGTACTCTTACTTGCTGTTTCACCGACTGCCGCAGAGGCGCCAATACCGTTTCCACCGCAGGATCTGCCATTTGGATCAGGAATTGTTCGTGTAACTTTACTTTCCTGTTCAATTTCTTCGTGCCCCAATTTTCGTTCCACCGGAAGGTTACAAGATTCACAGAAATGCACCGCAATTGAGTTGATTTAAGTGACAGGGGATTTACACTACTTTTCACTACAATTGAGAGGAGTTTGGAGAGTATTTTCATGGAAATAAGGCAATTTTCCGGGGACTTGCGAAATCGTGCACGCGTGGACCGCACGCCAACCTTTCACTTCAATGAGTCATTGGCGCCTCTCGCGGAAAATAAAAATATCCACCATTCGCGCCATTTCACTGAAGATTCATGAAACAGTGGTGAAACATGGTTATTGAGGAAAAAAAATTACAATTTCTCATGACTGTGCTTTCTTCTTACCTCTGCTGTTGCGCTAACACGAAGCGGAAGTATCATAATGTGCTAGCAGTGCCAAAACAGCTCTTTTCGTCTTCAATTGAGAGGCTTGTGCATGAAATATTGAGACAAGGAGATGGGTAATTCGACACCAACACTGCTCGAGGCTGTCCAAAGGTTCGTATCCAATTTGTCGTAATGTATAATTAGTTTTAAGTTACAATCCAGCTAAACTCACTTGTTACATGGTGCAAAAGGGATTCTCTCTCAGTCAGTCGCTGGCAGTGGCGAAATTGTTCAATTTCACTTGTAAAAGTCTGAATCTGAGGCGCGATATCAGAGTTGATAAACTTCAAGATAAAACAATCTTAGTGGGTTCGAAAGTGCGAAATTCCAAGGCGAAAACAGCGGAAATTTCTCAAATTGACTCCAACGAAAGCAATTTCGGTTGAAAGATTTATTTTTATTATCTCTTCCTCTCTTGATTCTTGTCTTGCTCCCGAAAAATCACCACATTATTCTGCCAGCTGTTTTACATGTATCACATGAACGATGGCACGGCAGAAGATGTGATTTTCTCCCCTCTCGCTCTACCGGGGAAAAATAATTCCAAAGTGGAAGAAGAGGAGGGCGAAAGCAATAGAAAAATCATGTCAATTTTCAATAAAAACAAGACACTCTTGCGTGATGAATATTGAAATAATTAAATTAATTTGTCACACACTTCACAGACAATTATTTGTGTTTTCTGTTAATCTCTTTTAAAACAGATTTACAATCATTTTGGACATTTATTTGTAAACTTTGCTCATCGCTTTGCGGCGTGCTTCTTCCCTCGCATCTCACGAAGAGAGAGTTGTACAATTTTTTGCCCACAACGCGATGATCTTTCATCATTTATTTCAAAATTTATATTTACTTGTTTATACAATTTTTTAAATTTGTTTACAAATAATCACTATTTTGTTTAGTAAACTTTTCGGCATGTTTGGTAAATTGTTGGCATAATTAAATTTGCTATTATTGAGCTCATTCCCCCCGCAAAGATGGGTGTATTTTTATTTCACCACGAGAGTCACATTAAGATCTCTCTCTATTCCTGTGCCTGATCAGCGACAAGCGCGCACAGTTTCAAATGTGATTTGATAAGATTAATGGCGAGGCGCCTTTTTTCAATCGCTGGAACGCTTTCACGAAAATATTCTCAACTGATGCCTTGAATAGACTTGAACTTTTAGCCCCAAAATGACTCGACTATCGTTTGATGTGATAAGAAAGATGCGCGCAATTGCGTGCTTTTTCCGGATGTTCTTGAGATACTTTGACAAGGGTCGCAAATTTAGCGAATCATATATCGTTTCATTGCTCGGGCGTAGCGAAAAATATCGTTTCGATTTTGCCAATTTATCGTGTTAATTTGATTCGTAGCTCTATAATTTTCAACTCCAATTCACAAGGGGCGTTTTTTTATCAGGAAATTTGCAAAATTGCAAATATTTCAATATAAGCAATAAGAGGTGTTCTTTCTTGTTTATGTTCTCTAGTGTTTCAAATACGAAAACACCAATAAATGTCTGCAAAATACATTTATTTATTTACACTCCAGAAAGACCCATTTTTCCCTCGCCATTCGCCATGGAATGTTGATGTTAATGATATATTACGAAATACTGGAAGCGCAGGGATGAAGAACAAACGTGAAAAAAAGTCGGAGTTTAGAGTAAATGATCCATGTTTATAATATTGCGAATCTTTTGGTATAATTTTCAGTGAGAAATCGGAGAAATTGATACCAGATTCGAGGAAATCATTACGCAATTAAAGCCTCAGTTATACAGCTTTCTGCTGACGCAGTTCTAATCCCATCCGTCGGGGCGAGAAAAGAGAGCAGAAAAATTGCAAACGTTTGACTAAAGATCACGATCTTGGCGAAGAGGAAAATCAGAAATTCTGCCACCGCTTTATTGACGTATGAATTTATATTTCGGATCTTGTGCTCCCGTTTGTGTGCGAAGGAGCGCCTCGACCACCGATAAAAATGTGATTTATTGGTCATTAGGTTGCAGAGACGGAGCAAGAATTGCCTCTATGACCGCTTAATTTATTATAAAACACATTCCTTGGCGCAAGGCATTTTTGTCACCCATTAATTCTCACCCTCGCAAGCCCTGAAACTCTCTGGACAGCATCTCAAGATGTGGCGTCTCCTTCGATGGCCAGATTTATGGCCTTGTCGCAATTTTACAAGTTTCTTCCTCTCAGCAGATGAGCGTCTGAATGGCTTCTGCAAGACTCTGTGGCGCGTCAATAAAATCATGCTCTGCTCATTGGGAATTTTGGTTTTCTTTCCTCCTGAAAAATTCAGAAAATATTCCTCCGAGCATCAGCTGGTGATGAGCGTGAGCAAATGTTCACAAAGTGGTAAAGTGTGTCCCAATCGACGTATTTGTCAGGCGAGTAAGAGCATTTCATTTCAATTTTCTTTATTTACCTTCACATCTTCATCTTGCATTAACCTTTGACAATATATATATTAACTATGTAGTAACAAAAAAAAATTTGGTAAAATTCACCATTTGACGCGATAAGACAATTTTGTGCTCTCTGAAAGCTAGAAGATGATCCTCTGGACGGAAAGTTTGAAGATAGAGGGAGAGAGTGAAATAGAGTTGGAAGCGAAGCAGGTGTGCTCGCAACTCCCGGAGATAAATTCATGAAATTCACGCACAAATCAATGCCTAAAAATAATCCCTATCACAGAAATCACATTCTTTTCGCCGACCATTTAAAACATGAGCAATTTGGAAGAATTGACGCTGATTGAGTGACTGTGAAGAGAGTCCGCGAAGGTTCCGTCAACTTATGGCTGTGGCAGGTAATTCTTCTGATAAGTCTGCTGCGTGGAAGTCACGTTCATCTGGCTAACGGGACTGATGCACTCCTCTTTTATCGGATGTGGCATAGCTACTGAAAATACGCAGTATTTAATGGCTCTTCTCATTTCTGAGCATCAGCACTTCACTCACTTGTCGAGTCAGACCAGTAAGGATAGGGCGTCGCGTCGTATCGGCGGGAGCAGGTTGTGGGTGATGAGCTGCCAGACACTATTCCATGAAATTGCATAGGCAAAAATTTGGGATGTCTCTAAATATGTACAAAAAATCATATCATCAAATCCACTCACCGATGTTGTTTGCCAGAGGACTGTAGGAATTGATGCCGACGGACTGGACGGGCTGCTGCAGCTGAAAGTCAATAAAAATGTCCTTTTGATTGCGATTGTGAGAACATACTGATCCATCTTTGGATATCTCAGGGACTCACCTGGCCATAGGAGTAGCCGGGGCGCGACGGGCATGGAGGGTAGTTTGGGATCTGCGACGGTGGCATCCATGGGCCGCAGGGTGCTCCGGCGGTGTCGTAGCGCGGAAAGGTGGCGTAGGGCGTTTGCGGGAAGATCGCCCTGGCTCCGAGGTTGCTCGCGTAGGGATCTGCGTTGTACAGCTTTGGGTAGGCGGTTCCTGTGCTGCGATAGGGCCGTTTCATGCGCCGTCTTCGCCTGTAGTTGCCCTTCTCGAACATGTCCTCATGTGACCGATCCATGGTCCACCAGTTGCCCTTCCGCTCGCCTCCGCCCTCGCGGGGAATCTTCACAAAGCACTCGTTGAGACTAAGGTTGTGCCTGATGGAATTCTGCCAGCCTTTCTTGCCCTTCTTGTAGAACGGATAGGTGTTGATGATGTAATTGTAAATGTCGTTCAACGTGGCCCTATTTCCAGGAGCGTTCTTCACGGCGCAAGATTGTAAAAAATCATGAGTATTAAATCTCTCTTTTATCCATCAATCTTAGAGATTTACTAAAAGATTGTCAAAGAACGCAAAGCACGATGCAGCACTAAGAAAAATATGTTAATAAACGAAAGAATAACCAAACTTCAGATTCAAAATATGCTCATTTTCAGAACATTTTACTTCCAAACTTGAAAATTTAATCATGACAACAAAGCAGATAATGCATAATCAGTTCATCATGGGTAGATGTAATGCCATGTGAAGTTATGATTGGAAATCACGGACAAATTTGTGATTTTATTAATCGGATAGCAGAGAACTTGCGAGAAGAATGTTCATTCCCTACCTGAATGGCCAATGAAATGAGGGCCACGTAGCTGAGGGGTGGCTTCACGTCGTCCTTATCGGTTGTGCTGATAGTGGTGGTTGTTGTGGTCGCAGAGCTGTTCAGGCAGAAATCATGCATTAATTAGCCAGTGAGAAAAAAGGCGCGATAAGCTTAGCCAAAGAGTACTGACCTAACAGCCGATGGCACCTCTTCCGACGATCTCAAATTCGACACTTCCTCGCTCTTGGAAAGCATCTGCGTGGAGCTGGCCGCATACTGAGGCCTCTGGATGACGGTGGGAATGGGGGAAGACGCCTTCAAGGGCTCATAAGTGGGCACTTTGGGACAAAAGAGACTCTTGAGATTGATGAACTCAACGGCTCGGCTTTTAGGAGTGAAATATTAACTTGAGTTTTGCGCAATTTGAACCACTGACCCTATTATCAAATTTCCACTGATAAGGTTTCGTATTGAAAAAACTGCAACTCGCTTTTTGCGATGAAATCATAGAAGAGCGCCTCGAAGGAAAGTCCAATATACAATTATTTCAAGATTTTAAATAAAAGTGATCTTTCACTTGGCATGACTCAATATTTTTGCATTAAAAGGTGATACGATGACGACATTTATTTTGCTGGAAAAGATTGTATTTTTTCTCCAAAATCAGCAATAATTTGACCTACTGCCGATTGAAGTGCAGAAGGAATTACTTTACACAATACACACAAAAAATGTTCACTTGCGCGATTTTTGCTGGATGATTCCTTCAAAGTTGCAGAAATCGCCGATATTGAGGTCATGATTTGCGGCATGATTTGGTGGAATTGAGGCAGGAATGTATCATGCATAAATGCAATTATGTGAGCATTTCATGGGATTGAATATTTCATCTCTAGCTTGACATTGTGCCGTTTATGTGGCGGGAAAAGGTATTGTTTGCAGTCACATTGTGGAGAAATTTCACTCAATGATTCATTTGCGACAATTACAAGTGGATGCGAAATGCCGACACTCACCTATGTGGGAGATGCTGGACAGGTTCTCGTGCTTTATTTTGGGAACAGGAAGAGTGTTCTGGGGAGAGAATTGCAAGATTAGTCCAGGGAAATTAAAGCACACAAATTACAAGCAAAGTTAATCAGAAGATTTAAAATGTTCCATCGTCAATTCTCATCTTGCATCAATATGACCAAATATTTTCATTCTTTTCTAATTCAAATCTTTCTTAAATTTCTCTTCCGTTGAACGTTGATATTTCTACTCAATCTTATACATATTTATTAAACTTTCTGCAACTGCAATCATATTTCGTTGATTTTCTTTAGAAAGCAAAGATTATTATCTGCTTTAAAATATATATTTTAATTAATTGAGTTCTTCAATTAGTTTTCTTAAGCTTTCTACTCCTATGACTCTTGCATATGAAACTTTAATGTACAGACGCCCGAAACGTAAGCTTTCTCTATCCCTGAAATTTATTATCTCTGTCTAAAAAAATCACTGGACCAAATAAATTCACATAAATTTTCACAACCACTTTTAATTTGCATTCACTGAAAAACACGAAGAGCTTCGGGAATTTTTGGCGGGTTTTCATGCGATGCCGCGGAAAATGTCTGGGGAAATAATCGTAAATCATCCGCCAAAGTGGAAATAGGTTTTCAATAGCGCACGATGATTTACGCGACTCAAAATTGTGGCTCGTGCCTAATTAAATAGAAATTAATTTCTCACGCTAATTGAGAGACTTCTGTGGACACTCGAAAGTATATTTTTAATGTGCGGAAAATACACACGTGAGACGATCGTTTGGAAAATAGTGCAATTGAGCATCCCATTCTTCAGTGCGGCGCACACAGAGTATAATTGGAATGGTGATATTTTCTCTCATGCTGTGTGGGTGTTTTTCGGGATTAAAAACTGCTTAGTTTGATATATACACAACAGCTGGCCTCTCTCTTGTCCCACAAGTGAGGAATTGTCGCGCTCAGTGAAAATGGGAAGATGATCTTCGGCGCGCGGGAGTCTTTTTGTCTCCATATGAAATTGAGACGCTCTCGATTGCTGTGCAGATATGAGCAGTGCAAGGTGGGCTTCGTGGAATTTTCTGGACTTACCAGAGACCACTTGTCCGCATAAGATGGCATGGATCCATCCAAAGGTGGAAGATCTACGTTCGACGACATCAGCATTGCCTTTGAGGAGTAGTCAAAAGACACACTCATTTTCCAACCTTTGACGCTCACCCAGGAAAATCTACTGCTTCTCACTTGCGGCGTTATGAGATGACAGAAGGGAGCTCACTCATTAGACGACCAGGAAAGTTAATATGTTTTCAAATAACACAACACAAACACTTCGCATTCACTTTCTTTGGCGCTCCTTCACATCCCAGATCTTCACAATCTCCACAATATATTTTATTTCGCCACTGTGCGACAATTTATTTACTAAACATCCTGAAAAGTTTACTAAATACTATCTCCAAAGTGTTTCATCTCAGTCACACGCACCAAAAAAAATGCTCGGACTCTCTTTCGCTCCGGTTTCGAGCGGTTTTCCTCACTTCCTTGCACGTCTCTTTCCAATTTCTCCGAAAAAAGATACACTTATCAAAGGCTCGCGAGTAGAAATTTCCACTTGTGGAAAAATTCCCAACGACCAGAGATCCCGAGGTGACTTCACTGCACAAGACTCAAAAGCTGACTAATTACCGACGACTTGCGACTTTGGCGGGAGTCGACAGAATTCTGACTGGCGTAGAAACTCATGAAACTCTCGATACGACTGTGTTTTTCACTCACCCTTTTCTCCTCTTCCCAATACTCACAGGCAGTGCTCAGTGTGTTTTCAGCAAAGTTCGCTTATCGCATATTCGCCATAAAAAAAAGGCTCACATGTGCTCCCATGTTGACGAATTCCGCACAGCAATTCGACAATGAAATGCCAGAGAGAGAAAAGGCGGAGAAAGGTCTCAAGAAAAAGCCCATCGGCTGGCAGAAAAACACCGCAATGCTGACCCAGAACTTTCCCTATGAAAGCACAACAGCGTGTCCTCAAAATATTTACGCAAGTATGTTGGAAAAGCTGCACAGCCAATGAGAATATTCTCATGAATGAAGATTTGTGAAATTTTATGCATGATCTGATAAAATCTGCAAAATGTTGATTGTTGTTGGGACGAATGGTATAACATTTGGGTTAAAGTTTTGTGAAAATGTTTAGAAACTACGTCATATCACGGATACTTGTATTAAGTCTTGCTGGAGAAATTTGCAAAAATATTATTCTCACCCGCAGTCGCCAAGGATGAAATTTCTGTTTGTATTCTTCAGCAACTGCATCAATGAAACAATTAAGACAATTGCATTGATAGAGATATCTATTTTTTACTATTCCCTAGATTTTCTTTAAAACAAGAATGTTTCTCTGCAAGTTTGTAGATCTCGTCTTTTAATTTTCACTAATGCAATGTAGAGAGATTAAGTATTCAACAAAATATTAAATTTATAAACTTGTATTCACAGTTCTTGTTTCTTGAACGATTTTATCAGCAAAATCAATAAATTTGAGTAATTTTGGCCCAATTTTTGCAATTTAAATTCAAAATTAATGCTCTTATGATTAAATTAAACTGGTTAAAATATTAAAGTATCAATCTTCAGCGTACATTTTTGTCGTTTTTATCTTGTTTCTAAATCTCAATTTCAATCCCTTATCTCGAGTATGTTTCCATTGAATAACATGAGGCTTTGCCAGCAAAATTTCCTGGAACTGGCAATAATTGGTGGTAAAAATAGCACCTACAAGTGCAATTCACGGTGATGGCATTCGAAAGAATTGGGCGTCAGAAAGCTGAGACCACAGCTCCAGACGTGATAAAGTAAACATGCTGCCCAGTTGGAAGTGGTGTGAAATTCGATGCAAATCAATTATTATTTTATAAACACTGGCCACTTCTCGGAATCTTTCTCTCTTGCACATTTTGCTCTATTCAGGAAATGCTCTGGCATCGCGATGACGTCGCGCCGATGTATCACGAAGTGATAAAATTCATCCCCCAGAAATATTTCCACCCGCACATTTTCAACACTTGTGTGGAATCCGTCGCTTTTCTCCATGGCAACTCACAAGCTCCTCCCAAGAGCGCCGCTCATTGGCGGCCCCGGAGCGCCTCTTTCATCAGAAGCTCGCCCATTTCTGCCACTTCAGCGCCTTTCCGACACTCAGTCTCTGTTGCAACGAATATTCCCCGGTTTCTGCATTATTCCGCACTAATCTTGCTGAAAATTGTCCCACTTTGCTGCCAAATTCAGGTCACGTGCATGTATTGAGGGCATAATTATAATTGTTCAACTTGTATCGGACTGATTTCGAGGTGGATTGGCTAAAATACCAGGTCAAAGATGAGCAACGACGGCACGTGACCCGAAGTCTTGGGTTTCCATGATATCAAATTCAAGGAAAGGTAGTCACTTCATTCTGGAGCCAATGCGAATTAAAGCTGAACTCAAGTGATGAGAAATCTAATTAGGGCAGAGTAAAGAAATGAAGGCCAATGATTTCAGATACAAATTTGGTTAAATAGTCCACAAAGAATAAGTATTTATCTTAGTATAGAAACTCTGTGTTACTTTAGAGAAATAATACGAATACATAGAGCAAATTGATTCAGAATTGTTCCTGTTTATTTCGCATTTCAATTTTATGAATTTTTTCATAAAAAAAAACGATTTCACGATGTGTCTGCGGAAACCAGAAGAAGAAAAAATTAAATAACACATTTAAAGAGAAAATTAAGTTTTTCAATTATCAATCATTAAGGAAATCTTAAAAATCAAATTCTCTTTCCCTTATGTTTTACGTTAAATCGGCTTTTGAGTGTGAAATTTTTATCTTGTGCAAACGATGTCATTGGATTCATGTTTTTGAAAAAAAGAAGGAAATTTTACCTCTTAACTTGTCCTATGGTTTATTTATTTTTTTCTATGCAAAGCCATTAATTACTCCTCATCTGTGTTATAATTTTCTTCCTTATGATGTTTGTAATATTGCCATCGACATTTGGCAATGCACTTCTCGTCCTGGCGGCGTGTTCAATTTGCTGAATGATCTTCAGCTCATGCAAGCTCGACACAAAGTTGGTGATCGTGCAATTCTGCACGCCGCCCAGTCTTCCTGTGCGTCCGCAGCGGTGAATGTAGTCCGCCATGTGCAGAGGGAAGTCAAAGTTGACCACTTGCGAGACGTGTCTCGTGTCCAGGCCTCGACTTCCGATGTCAGTCGTTGACATAATCTTCACTTCGCCCCGTCGGAAGCGCTCAAACTGTTCCATTCGAATGGACATCGGCATATCAGCGTTGAGACTGATGCAGTCCACGCCAGAGCTTGTCAGGAAGTGCGAAACGAAGTTTGCCGTGGGCGTCTTGTTGCCAAAGACCAGGACTGAGTGGTCCTGCTTAATCGCGGATTTCGCGATGCTGAGCAGATTCGGTGGCCGGTTGATTTTACTCATGCGGAGGAACTTTTGTGGCACGTTCGGCACAATTCTGTGCAGATCTGGCGTCTGGATGTTCTTCACCACCGACACGTCGATGATCTTTTCCAGCATGCTCTCCCTGTTCACCGGGATTGTAGCGGAGACCATGATGAGCTGCACTCCAGCTTCGCTGGTGAGGTTCTTGTGGAAAGAGAACCTCTGGAGGAAGTACGAGAGCCTGTCGGAGAAACTGTCATCCAAAAGAGTGTCCGCCTCGTCCAGCACCACTTCTCTCACCGCTCCCATGCGGTATATCTTCGTGGCGGTTAGCTTGTTGATAACCCCGAGAGTTCCCACCAGGATGTCGATGTCTTCAAAAGTGGGATTCATCATCTTCTGCTTCGTGTTGCCGCCGACGAGAGTCTTCACTTTTAGATTATGCGGCTCGCACAGCTTCTCAGCCACTTCGCCTATTTGCAACGCCAGCTCGCGGCTCGGGCTGATGATTAACACCAGCGGAGTGTTGAAACTCCTTGACTTCAGCTGATGCTGACCCTTGCGAATGATCCGCTCGATGATGGGCAGCAGATACGCCAAGGTTTTCCCACATCCTGTCTCTGCAGCAATTGTGGTGTGGAATCCTTTCAGGATCTCCGGGATGGCCACTTCCTGGATCACACTGGGACGAGTAATGCTGTAAAGTTCCTCTGCCAGCTTTGAAATCTCCGTGCGTATACCCAGCTTTGCGAAAGTCATTCCGGAAGAACTGAAGCGCCAGTTGTTGCCCAAGTGTAGCGGGTGGATGAGAATGAAGTCTGTCTTGGATTTGTAATGATGCCATCCAGAAGATGCCAGAGGAATGCTCCCAAACTTTGCATTTTCATTCGGATTAAAGCCCTTGTCTTGATACAAATCAAACTCCTTCCTTTTGCAGGTTAGAATGGGAATTCTGCCTTTTTCCGGGGCTACTTCGGGAATCGCAACCACAGATGGTGTACTGAAGCCGCGAAATATGATTGAACAACGATTCAAATTTCCTCTTAACATACTTATAGAAGATATTTTCACTGACTTCACTGAGAAAATTACGAGAAAACTGTCCGGTGAAAATTCACAACAATCCCCACATGATACCGCAACGTTGCCAATTTTCTACCCTTTTTGAAGAAACTGTATTACAGTTTTTTTTATAACAGTTCGGGTTTGTTTACATTTTGCGCAGCATGGATTCAAATGACTCTAGTTTCCAGAATTCCGACGATGTGCACCAGGAAGAGAGAATGAGGCGAAAGGCAGTGCTTGTGGAATATCCAGGACTTGTGGAGAATGTGGGCAAGTGCCTGGAAACAATGGGAGGGATTGGCAAATTATCTGAGGTTAGATTTTCTATTTACAAGATGATTTCCTGTTTTTTTCTTCATCAATTTTCTGTTTTCTCTTGGTTTCTAGACATTCAACAACGAGAAGAAACGCCTTGAATTAAAATTTACCCCTGAAAATCTATTCTGCAAGCCCGTGTTTGCCGATGAGCACGCCACAACAGGGATCCTGCTGAAGATTAAGCTTCCCCGTCGACGTAACACCCGGTCTGTGGAAGTCCCTTCAGAGAGTGCAGAGATTGTGGCCAGGGTGGAGACTTGCTATAGATTCACCAGTATGTGTGACTTTCAACTATTGCCAATTGTGAAGCGAGACGATGAGAGAGTAGAGATGATCTACAATGAACTCATCCCAACGTATAGAGACAATCATTCCTGGCTGACAGAGAATCCCAGCATCCCTTATTTCCTGCCACCGCTGCTCTTCTCCCGCCTCGACACGGTGCAGCACAAGACCTTCCGATCGAGCCAGATAACAGAGAAAGGCGCTACTGTGCAGCAATTCCAGGAGCGCAAGAAGAGAAGCAAGCATAATGTGATCGCGTCCTTCAATCTCCATGACGCTCTGCCGGACAAGATGAATCCAGCAGCGGCGGAGATGCTCAAGGTAAAGTTCGTCTCCAACGACGAATACACCACAGTGAAGAATTTGCTGCAGGAGCGCCCAATTTGGTCGCGTATCGCCTTGTGTTACGTCTCTCAAGTCCCGGTGGCGAGGCTGAAGGTTATTCTGCCCACGTTAGCCTTCTTCTTCAACTCCGGTCCGTGGAGGATCCTGTGGTGTCGCTTTGGTTACGATCCCAGGAAGCACTTCGAGAGTCGGCACTGGCAAGTGCTGGACTATCGACTGCGGAATCACGTCGCCGCGAAGAACTACGTGACGCGCAAGAGCAGCCACGTTCTGGGATCGGTGAACAAGGCCAGCGTGAGCCAGAAGAAGTTCACCAAGCCCACATCCGGAGCGCGGGGTGAGGAGAAAGAATCCTTGGTCTACTCGCCGTACTTCGAGGTGGGAAAAATGCCCGAGGCGCGGCAGATAAACTACCAATATTGCGATATCCGCGTGCCCAAGATCCAGGAGATGCTGGAGAAACTCCCCGGTCCACTCTACGGCACGACGTGTACCGAAAAGTCCGGCTGGCTGCCTCCTGGCTTCGAGATGCAGTGCCGCGATATCATGAACGAACTCATTCGCGAACACTTCCAGACGGAGATCCTGAAAAAGGAGGAAATGGAGGAGTCTGGCGAAGAGGAATCGACCGGCGATGAGGACTCCATGCTGGAAGAGACCTTCGAGGAAATGGACATTGATTGAATGCGCCTCTATTTTTTTTCTCAATAAATGCCTCAATCGAGAATATAAAATCATCTTCATTGGCCGAAAGAGAAGCACATATCTGAACAAGTTTCCAGCCACTTTGCCAACTATTTCCGTCCTACAAGCCGTTTTCCTTCTAAATGCTAGACACTTCACTGCGCGGGCAGATTGAGGAGCAGATTCTGCCCAGGCGGAAGGTAAGTGACAGCGCGCGAGCGCGACATTTGATAGGCAATGTCTTCGGCCGCCTCAATCCGCCGCAGCTCCACCAGACCATCGCCGGCCGTGGCAAGAGACTTGGCCAGCAGCTCAGCCGCCTGAGCGTCACCCTCGGCCGAGATCACGGTGGCCTTCTTCTGCTGCTCGGCCTTCTCCACGAGGAAGCGCGCCTTCTCGGCTTCTTGCTGTGCCACCTGCTTCATCTCGACGGCCTGTGTGAACTCCTTGCCGAAAGTCAAGTGTGTGATGGAGATATCGTCCAGAATCACGCCAAATTGCGAAGCGCGCTCGATGAGGTCCTCGCTCACCTTCTGCGACACCATTTCTCGCTGCGTGATGAGCTCGCCGGCATCGAACTGCGCCACCACGGCTTTCAGCACTTCCGTTGTGATGGATGGCAGCACGCGCTCGTCGTAATCCTGGCCCAGGATCGTGTAGATGCGCGGCAGCTGATCCGGTACCGGCCGGAAGAGAATTCTCAACGTGATGTTAACATTCTGCAGGTCTTTGCTGCCCGTCATCACGGGAATATTGCGTGGCTGGGAGCGAATATCGAAGATGATCGGCCGCTGCACCCACGGAATGAAGAAGTGAGTACCCTCGCCCGTTACTCCCGGCTTGATACCTGAGAATCTGTCGAAGATCACCGCCCTGTGCCCGCCGTCAACTGCAAAACAGTCACATCTGATAAGAAACATGTTCCGGCAGTTTGCCGGCTCTCACTTACCATTGTACAGGGCAGAATTCACCACTCCGCCCACGAGCGCCACTCCCAGGCCAATTTGACCGATTCTGTTGAACAACTGGGCAGCCATGCTGATGCTCTGAAAGATGAAGAGGGCCGCAATGAGCCCCAAATTGCGTTAGCACATGATGATTTCATCACAACACGAGAGGGTGTCGTTTTTACTCTTTGCCTCGCAGAAACTCAATTGACAAACACAGCAAGGATTCCAGAGGAGCCTCCAAAATGTGATTTACTTACTTTTTCTGAGAATTACCGGGAAATATTGACTATTTTCGTGAAAAATTGTGCAATGGAATTTTTTGGTTATGAAATAATATGGCCGACTGTGTTGCCAGATGCATATGTGCTATAAAATTAGACATTGAAAATTTCATACTTTTCCACTTACTTTTCAATAATAATTTCTGATAAGGAATAACCGAGGCATTTCCGATATCTGAGAGCTATTTGCTATGAAACCAATCATATCTCTTTAGAGTTAATATGACCTATCATGCATCTCCGTTCGAAAGCCTGATAGATGTAAAAATTGACTTTTTAGCGTTGAAAATTCATCCACCGCATGATTTGTAAAATTTCATGAAGTTTTCAATGGTGGCATGCCGACCACATTCCACAGCATCTGGCAACCCTGGGCACCGGCTCTGCGGCCATTTTTATGTGTGCCGTATCGTATAATTAGGTGATTTTAGGCAAAAACTGCTGAAATTCGTCTCTTTGCGCTCCTACTCTTGTGTTATCTAATGTAAATACATTGGAGAAAGTGTGCAGATCACAGGTATCTACCGACTCGTGTGGTTTTTCCGCGGGAAAGCAGTGAAAATTGAGTGCGAAAATTAGGTTTCACGGGAACAATGTGGTTGACTCACTTTGACGTCGCATTCGTTCGTTTTTTTTTCTTTACTCGTGCCCCCATCAATAATAAAAGTCATCCATGACGGTGAATTTTCCACGGAAATTGGCTGGGAAAAGTGCAAGGGAGTGCTGTGGGGTGAATCCGTGTAGTGGGCGCGTGTAAGGACATTCCATATGGCGCCCCGCGTGCAGAAAATGCGCGTGAAAAGCCTCCCGAAGGCATTTCAGTGTTTGACAGCACGAGGTTAAGAAGGACGATTTTGGGAGTTGCAATGGCATTTCGTCTAGCCAGAAGCCGAAGAGCACTGAAATTACACTAGGAAGACTATCTATGGTCCTTGAGGGATGGAATTAATACTTCCCGGCGGGGGAATATTTGTTGTTTGTCGCGGATTGTGATGGGAATCAGAGGCATAACATGGAGTCTCGATGTGCGTTTCTATCGGAGATTAGGCGATAGAGCTCGGTTATCGCGGGGTTATCGTGAATTTCGCTGCTCGTGAAGCATTTTTCCAGCTGACTTCCTCAGAAATAAGAACATTCGTTGATTGGAAGCCTTTCTTGCTGTGTCTCTTCAACATTTCCTCCTCCTTTGCAGTGGTAAAGCCGAAGAAATGAACTCTCTCTGTCAAATGGCTATTCCGGCGACTGAGAACGGTCTTCACCAGGAGAAAGTGGCAATTCTGGATGCTGGTTCTCAGTATGGAAAAGTAAGAATGATGTCTGGATTGCCCGAAGCGCGGCAAGTGGTCTAAGACTGTTTCCGTCTGCAGGTTATCGACAGAAAAGTGCGTGATCTCCAGGTGGAGTCGGACATTCTGCCCCTTAGCATGCCCGCACTGGCACTGAAGGAGCAAAATTATCGGGGTATCATCATATCCGGCGGCCCCAATTCCGTCTACGCTCTCGACGCGCCCCAGTACGATCCGGCCATCTTCAAGCTCGGCATTCCAATCCTGGGCATTTGCTATGGCATGCAAATGATCAACAAAGAGTTCGGCGGCTCGGTGGCCAAGAAGGACGCCCGAGAAGACGGCCAGATGGAGGTGAACGTGGAAACGTCCTGCCCACTCTTCAAGTGAGTAATCCGTGTTGATTGAATTGACTAAGGACAAGCTCTGAGATTTATCGCTGTATTGAGCGAAGGACTTGACTGTCCTTGCTTCAAATTTCGATTAACTGCGAATTGATGTTTAACGGGAGACTGGAAGGGGCAAAGTTGCAGGGAGGCTGAAAATGCATCTCAACTACTGTATTGACTTTGCTCTGATACTATCTTCCAAGAGTAAAATGGTTCGGAACAACTAGAATTTGCATGAATACGGAAATTCTAGCTACACCTTGCCACACATTTGCTTGTATATTGTGAGATTGACTTGAAGATTAAGGGCTATATTAACACGTTCGCTTGCTTTCTAGTCGGCTGAACACCAACCAAACGGTTCTGTTGACCCATGGCGACAGTATAGATCGTGTTTGTGACCAATTCAAAGTGTCTGCCGTGTCGAAGAACACAAGTATCGTGGCGGGAATTTACAACGAGCAAATAAATATTTATGGTGTTCAATTTCATCCAGAGGTAAGGAGTGCTAGATGGTCAGTTTGTGTGGTTCTACATGGAATTCTCCCTCGTTTTGCAGGTTGATTTGACCATTAATGGTAAGCAGATGCTTTCGAACTTCTTATTCGACATCTGCGGCATGTCAAAGCGCTTCACACTGCAAAATCGCAAGGAAGAGTGCGTGAAGTCGCTGAAGGAGATGATTGGCTTGAAGAAAGTCCTGGTGAGTGGTTTCCTTGAATGTGAGTTTGAAGAATGAGGTCAGAGCTGTGCTTCTCTTGCAGCTTCTCGCGAGTGGAGGCGTTGATTCGACCGTGTGTGCATCTCTATTGAACAAAGCTGTGCCTCCGTCTCAATTAATCGTCGTTCACATAGATAATGGTGAGTCCTCGTTGATTTGTTTGCCGCTTTGACCTGAATATTGGTCGGTTGGTTCATTTGCAGGATTCTTGAGGCAGAACGAGAGCGAAGCAGTGGAGAAGTGTCTCGGTGAAATCAATATAAATGTAATTGTGAAGCGAGCGCATCATCAATTTCTCAATGGGACGACAACTGTGAAACAGCCTGGATCACACTACTCGACAGACACGCCAATGCTATCGATGACGACAAATCCAGAGGATAAGCGGAAAATAATTGGTGATGTGTTCGTAAAGGTCACGGATGAGGTGATTAAGGAGCTCAAGTTGAAACCCGAAGACATTCTGCTGGCTCAAGGAACTCTGCGGCCGGATTTGATTGAGTCAGCGTCTGCCCTGGTCAGCACCAATGCGGACACAATTAAGACACATCACAACGATACAGAACTCATCAGGTAAAGCCCAGAGTGGATTCTGTCCGTATTTTCTGCGGAGATGTGAAAGTGTGGCTTTTGCAGAAAACTCCGTGAGGCTGGTCGTGTGGTGGAGCCGCTGAAAGACTTTCACAAGGACGAAGTGCGTGCTTTAGGATATGATTTGGGTCTGCCCAGCAAGTTGGTGGAGAGACACCCTTTTCCCGGGCCAGGACTGGCCATTCGGATCCTCTGCGCTGATGAGCCTTACATTGAGAGGGACTTTTCTGAGACACAGGTGAGAGACACAGAGTAACAGAGTGCGTTCTGGAGACGTTCAGGTGGAGTATTTGCTGTGCTTGCAGTTCTGCAATCACAAGAATGCTCCTTAATTACTCTCCGAGAGCAATGCTGAAGCAGGGGATAATATTGATTGATTCGTTCCAATTTGTAGGGATCAATTGTCAATCTTCTTCTTAAACAATACAAGATGTTTATGACTTTAGAAAGTTTTCCAATATAACACTGTATTTGATGATTTATTCTTGATGCGTGTGTGGCTGATTGCGTGTTTTGTCCTGCAGGTTATAGCCCGTGTGATAGTGGATTACAATCAAAAGCTCCAGAAGAACCACGCCCTGCTGAGCCGTGTTTCCGGTACGACGTCCGTGGCGGAACAGAAGGAGCTGCGAAGGATCTCCAGTGCGATAAAACTCACCGCCACCGTTCTGCCGATCAGGAGTGTCGGCGTGCAGGGCGACAAGCGCTCGTACAGCTACGTTGTGGGGATTTCGAGCGAGGGGGCGCCAAATTGGGGGGATCTGATGTTCCTTGCCAAGATAATACCGCGCATTCTACACAATGTCAATCGAGTTTGTTATATATTCGGCGAGCCTGTACAGTATCAAATCACCGATATCACGCACACGCACGTGTCGCGCAAGACATTGGCCCAGCTCAGAGTTGCTGATGCGATAGTGAATGAGGTGAGGATTCTTTGGATGTTGATTTTGACGCATGGATTAATTGACGATTGGTGGTTTTCAGGCACTGCAAGCCTACGGCTGCATCAGACGCATCTCGCAAATGCCTGTAGTATTAATTCCACTTCACTTTGACCGAGATCCAGCCAACAGGATGCCATCGTGTCAGCGATCAATTGTTCTGCGACCGTTCCTAACAAATGACTTTATGACGGGCGTTCCAATTCTACCCGGTTCCGAGAATCTACCGATGAATGTAAGTTGAGTGAAAAGTTGCCGTGATCGGAGATGTTCAGGTGGATTATTCGCTGCGTTTGCACGCAAGGATATTCCTTAAATAATCTCCAAGATGAAAAACATTAGAGAAGGGGATACAATTGATTGATTCCACCGCAATGGAACTGATTGCGATCCACTCCTTGGACAATTCAATGATTCCTTTGTCTGATGGAGTGCATAAACTAATCTGTGTTTTATCTTTGCAGGTCGTGGAGAAGATAGTTCGTGATATTCTTTGCGTACCTAGCATTTCTAGGGTGTTATACGACTTGACGCCTAAACCTCCGGGCACCACAGAGTGGGAATGATTTCACTTCAATTCACCCCTATCATCAACATTTTTGTCATCTCTGTAGTTACTGAGAAGGTGAAGAAGAGAGGGACGAGGGAATGAGAAGAGAATACAAAAAATTGTGTAAAGAAGAGCGAAGATTAGTCTTGTGTCGTGAGGGTCGTGAGGCATTTTTCACGAGTTTAGCGATGACGGAAGAAAAGGGACAAACGGACATTTCTAGGATCTGGAAGTGAGATGAAATTTAGCCACAGCATCCAGTTACATATATTAAATATATAAAAAGAGCAAAGAGAGTGAAAAGAGAGAATAGTGAACTTCAGAAGGGAAGAAGTTGAATTGCTGTCATAAGAGAAAAATTGCCACATTAAAAGTTCTTTCTTTTTTATTTGTTGTGTGCGACAGAATTAAGGACAGTTTAGTTAGCAGACATAATTGAGGACAGGTTGATCATGAAGGTAATCGAACTATTGAGTAAAGAAGAAAGGTAAAAACAACTCTGAGAAAAACATAAATAACTTGGTTAATAGAATTTTCAATAAAAGATAGAATGGATGAAAGATTAAAACTACAGGACACTGATAACAGTAGCTGGCGCATTATGTACGTTTTATTAAATTTTAAACTAATATTTATATATTACAAAATAAACTTATTGAGATAGAAAAAAAAACCCAGCGTAAATTCGCAAATTTTTCATGACTCTTCACAACTTCATCAAAAATGTACTTAAAATGCTATTCTTTATTAAAAAGGGTGCTAAAATTGTCCGGTTTTCCTCTGCTCGATGTTTCATCCTCTCAAGAATTGAAGTGGAAAATTGGGAAAATTTTTTATTTATTTCAGCCATGGAAAAGGCCGGCATTTAAAAAATCCGCGTCTTTTATAACAGTTTTGTATAACTGTTTGGTTTTTGTGGCGTCTCGAGATTCCGCACGAACTTACGTTTTCCAGTGATTTTCTACATTCTCCAGGTGTTTTACGCAATGGAGCTAACACAGATCCAGTCAGAGTTCGCAAATATCCTGAATGAGTTCAGTGACTTGGTGAAACCCTTGAGGAATATTCAATCTTTCAGAGGTAACCTCAAAAAGATGCTTTTATTCGCTTTTCCTCACATTTTCAAGTTATTCTTGGTTTTGTAGGATGTGAATTCTTCATGAATACTCTAATCAAGAAAATCCAGTCGTTTCTTGTTGCCAAGGAAGTCTTTACGACTGATTTCGCGGTGCTTCCTCACGCCAGAGAAGCTCTGAGGGAGATCATCATCTTGCTGGTGGCGAATATGGAGGACACCTTGAGCGGCATCTCTGAGGATGTGCCCATCAAGTCCTTGACTGGGAGATTGCCAGTAATTTCGCAGAATCTCTTCTACATGCTGATATGGCAGCTGAATCTTCAGGACGCCTTCTTGGAATTGATTTCCTTCAGTCCAATTTGCTTGGTCTCCTGTTTGATGGTGATCTTTCCTGATGCAATGACACATCTGGACCAGGAAAGGAATCTGGCCTTTGCGGAGAAGTTCACTGTGGCAGTCTACAGTAATATTTTTGATTCTGAACATGCAGATGGTGATAGTGAAATTGCCTTGAGCTATTGCATGAAATTCTTGAAAGATTACTTCAAGTGCGATAAGGAGGCTTTTCCCAACATGAAGACGTCTCAGTTTCATCTGCACTTTGGAGAGATGATTAGACACATGTTGAAAATTCTCCTGCAATGCCTGAAAATCTTCACCACGGCCAAAGACAAGAAGACTGACTGCCCTGAAATCTTTATGAAGATGTTTCAGAAAAAGGACTCAACCGTTAGTGAGGAAACTAGTCCTCTGGAGAATCCCACTGTGCTGGCTTTCAACGAGAAACTCTTTAATATGCTGAAATCTCTCTCAGATGGAGTCACTGTGCTTGTGTTTTGTGACTGGATGGAAGTTGATGTGAAGCCTGGCGTGACTCTTCAGCGAGAGATAGGCGACTTGGCGGCGGAATTGCTGGAGATACCGAATGAGGAGAACAACTTGACGCACGAAGTGTTTGCGCAGATCAAATTTCTGAAGCCGGAATCAAAAAACGAGGAGCAGGTGGCCAGTTCGGCCACCATTAGAGAGATTCTGGGTCAGCTGGAGACGCTGGTAATACCAAGAGAAAAGTCTGTGTGGATTAGCGAGCTGATATCGCGCGGAGGACTCGTGCTGGAGAACGAAGAGTGTCTGGAAGCAATTGAGAGGAACGCATATGTGATGAATGTCACTGATTATATCGAAGTGGCGCGCTATGTGCAGAATTTCAATCCAGATACCGAAGAGACTCTGAGAGACATTCTTCTTTTAGGCACCAAAAATCTTCCCATTGAGGAAGCCGTTCATCTGATTACAACAGAACTGATTTACTTGCCCACAAGTACAATGCAGACGAGCGGATTCCAGCAGGAGACTCAGAGCTTCCTCATCGCAAAGAGATGGACAGAGTCGGGATACTTGAGACTTCTCGCTCAAAATCCGCAACTGTTGATCGAGAAAATGTCCTTGTGGGTGATTGATCACGAGAAGGACATGAAAATTGCGCTGAAATTCTTGCAAATGACCGAAAAAGTCACTGGAATGTTTCTGGAGAGTACAATCAAGAATCTGATAACATTTCCGACACACTCCGGATCCAGCAGACTCCTGGCAAATTGGATTGGTCGTCTGTTCAACTGTGGATTGCTGAGAAAGAGCAAAATCGTAAAGAATCTTTACAAGAATCTGGTGGAATTTGTTAAGAAGCGCGATGAGAAGAGAATTCTCAGTGCCATGACAATATTTTCCGTGCTCGCGCAGAAGAGCACTTATGGTGAGGATTCTGCAAAAGTTCTCCTAATTGCTGGAATTGTTCTCAACGGCAGTCGATGGAGTCTGGAGACGTACACTGAAGAGTTGAAAGAGATTGTGAGACTGTCTATCGTAACCATTGTGGAGACTATGAAGGACTTTCTCAAGTATGCTTCATTGGCGGAAAAGAGCGCCTTGAATGAAAAAACATCGGCCTTCTCGCCATCTGTGGGATTCTTCTTTCAAAAGCTCAGCCTCAGCAGATCGACTTCTCCACAGAATTTCGCAGAGTTCATCTTTCAGAAGGATTCACTGGAGAATGTCCCTCAAGAAGATCTGGAGAATATGCTTTCGCAGGTGAATACATGACTCATAAGTTAACAATAACAGTGAGACTAATTTTGTCCTTAATTTCCAGATTATCATTCACATTACTCCCAAAGAAGCCGTGTGGCTGGCCAGCAATGAGTTCCTGAGGCCTTCCATTGAAGGTGTTCTGAGAAAGATTGCCATTCATGTATCCGAATTGCCTTCGGGCTTGAGAGTGGCACCTGCCAGATGCTTCCGGAACTGCATGATAAACTATCAGCACGCCTTGGAGAAGAACATCATTCCTGAGTTGACGGAGGCGCGGGATAAGGTGATTTTCCTGAACAGATTTCTCGAGCTTCTGGAAGTGATTCCCCACGAGATTTACAATGAATTCACCCAAAATATTTCTGCCGTGATTTGGCCAGTGTTCAACGATGCTTTCGAGGACGAATGCATTCCTGATTGCCATTCTGTACTCATCGAGCAAATTACTGCCCTCAGAGACTGCAACTTAAAGAAGAATTTGCTGCGTGATTTTCAAGTATCCGGGCTTCTCTAAGTTTATGTTTTATCCCATTTTATTATCATTCTTTGTGCTCTTGAAAGGACCTTTCCTCTATGATCCTCGGTATGTCGAGTAGCCGAATGGATTGAGGAGGAGAGGAATGTGATAATTTTGATCATTTCCTGCATTGTCGATCTTGAAGACCACCTGTAACGGGTTGCAAGCTGTTGAGTCGAATCGATTGAATTAAATACACACTTTATGCTCACCTCAATGTATGGATAAAATGAGAAGCCTGAGTTTTTCATAAAGTAATCCTCCACGGCGTAGTGAATCTTAAATGTGCCTGAAGAAAATTGTTCTCTCGTGAGGAAAGTTTCACATCTTCCGTCTGCGTTAGTTTGGCCATTTCCCACTGTGTGCCATGTGCCATTTTCTTCTTTATACAGCGTGATGGGAACTCCAGTAGCAGGACGACCGCGAGAAGTGTCGAGGATGTGGACGGAAATTGGTGGCTTTGCGCTCTTGGACATTTTATTTTGTATTTTTCCACTGCTAAATGCGATCTTGACGACTGACAGAGAGACACTGTTGCATATGAAACTCTTATCGCTTTGCCTGAGTCAGCAAGAAAGTAAACAGTGTGAGATTTATAGGGCAGAGAAGCTGTTTTTCCTGTACACGAAGAAAAAAAATTCCACTGTGTAGAGATTACGATTACATATTCATCTCCTCTATGTAATTGGTTAAAAGAGTAGATGATGCGAAATGAAGAGCAGTAGATTTATACGATTGAGAAGCAAAACATACTTTTGTTTTGTCAATTTTAAGCAAGAAATCGTTCACAGATTTCAACTGTAATTAGATTTCTAGTCAGAGTTTCTTTTTATCACATCTCAATGCTCAATATGAAAACCTCTCAACATTAAATAAAGGCAAGGTGAAAGTTACATTTATCCGAAAAACTTGCAAAATGTTTTTACCTTATGGATTTACAGTATCAAATGTTATAAATGCAATTGATTGTTTAACAGTCGAATTCGTTGTTGAACTGTTTTTTGTGCAAAGAAGGATGATGGGGTGTTAAAGTGTTTCAAGGATTTTGCATTTGCAGGGTTTTGTTAAATAGGAGAAATAGGGTATTTGACTGGTTTTGCTAGCAGGAGAATAATCCTTCCGGAAACTCTGTTTCCCCTTCGGACTAACTCAGCAAGGACTCACGAGGCAGTGGTTAAACCATTCAAATGCTTTTTCGTCCTTTCCAAGGTATGAAACCGTTAAACTCGCGATGAATTTATTCCGATAATTTTTTTTTTAATCTGAACTCTTGATAAATATATTTACTCTATAGAATAATATAAGTAGGTATATAGAGGCCAAATTAAAATAGAAGGTCTTGCGAGTGCAAATGACACTCCTTTCTTTTATCTTTTTTCTCTCTTCGGCATCATCACAGAATTAAGGATGATTTTTGAGATTTTCTTTTTCCATTCATTTGGAGAATGAAAAAGGGGGATAAATTTGCCTTGTCTCGGGCAATTTTTCATTCAATTTCCTCTTGACTGGGTGGGAAAGTTCGTGGCGGTGCGAATGAAAGGGGAGCAAATGGCGATGAGATTACAGAAAAAAGAGCCACGAGAGAACGGGGGAAATCCTTCATCGTCAAATCGAATTGGAGAGATAAAAAATTGATCAAATTTCTTGGGCACTATTGTGTGATTCCTGGTGCCGAATTGCGTTATCCCATCAGAAAAGGGGTGATGTTTGTGGTGGGTGAAATATTTTATTTTATTGTTCCGAATTGGTTTGATTTTTTCGACGTGACCATGTGAGATTCTTCTATATTTTCCCGTTTTGCTTCTATCCTTTGTTTAGCTCCAAATGGAAGGGAAAAAGGAGAGGCGTTTAGAGAGAAAGTATCGATGTGAAAATCAAATATGTTGCATGAATGCCACACTCTGTGATGGCTTTGTGGAAAATGGTATTTGTGAGAAAGGATTTGAGGCATATTTCCCTCACCCTCCAGAGCTGTGCTGAGCTGAGGAAATTCTACAAATTAAAAGTCAAGCCGGATTAGGGACAAAATGAGGCGTCTTCGTTGGCGGGATGAAGTGAAAATTGATAAAAGCCCAGAGGCAATTTTCACTTTGAGCTCTAATTCCTGCCTCTTCAGTTGGCACCAAGCTCCAGAATTGGCCTCACGCGTTTTTTTGTGCTTGAATTCCCGAGGGGAAAATTAATAATTCGGTGCAAAAATGAGGTGGAAATATGTGCGATCTACTCGTATGAAAAATGCACACTAAGTCACCGTCAATGTGGCGGATGAGAGCGTGTGAGGAGGAAATGATGCTGGGAAAATCTCATAAAATTCAGTGGTTTCCCGTGGAAGCCAGGAAAGGGAGAAATGTGAGAGTCTGGGCGTGAATTCTTGTGGTGAGAAGATGCCACTAAAGAGAGATAATTTGCCAGGGTGGAAAAAATCCCACGGGACTGATTCTTTAAATTCTCTGAATTTTCACTGAACCTTTAAATCCCCAGCTCTACTCTGGCATTGGCTTTGCCGGGAAAATCTCCGGGGGTGGGATATTTTATGGGATCAATGCTTCGGCCCACACATATGAAATAGGAAATTTATTGGACGGCAGAGAGACGAGGATAATTCTTCTTTTCTAAAGCTCTCTAGGTGGCAATTTGTGTGACACAGATGGGTGACGCTAAATCATCTCTCAAACTCCCTCTCGGGGCGCCGCTCTGGGCGCCCCACCGAAGACATCCTCCGGCGTCACTCTGCGGGGAATCAATTGAATTTGATTTGCCCTGGGATAAAAGTGACGGATGCTGAAAATTATTTTAAATCCCGCACTGTCCTCTTTATCACATTTCGTCCCACAACCACAGAAAATGATGACTCTCTTCCATGGATTTTCCGCAAAATTGAATGGAGGCGAGCATTTTCAAAAGACACGCTCTCGTGATTGTGCCATTTGAGGCCCTTGAAATAGTCCCTTATTCAACATCGCTTTTTTAGACACACATAAAAGAGTGCTTTCACTGTTCCACTAAGGAAAATATGCTGCCAATTTTTATACTTGATGAAATATTCATAATTTTGAGTCATGAGGACAAGACGAAAGATTTATGAAGGTCGATAAGAAGTTGAGAGAAGGAATATATTTTGGAGATTCTTTTGAAAGTTCACGTAATGAAGTAATTTAAAATCAATTTATATGTCTGGAAAACTATCTACACATCAAATATAGGCATCGCTTGACTTAGCATTTTAGGACCTATTTGAAACGTGACAACCTCAGTTTTTAAAGCTCAAAAGTATTAAATCAATATTCTTGATATTCAATTTTGAGGAGACTGACATCTCTTGCTCGAAATATTTTCACAGGCTTTTTTTCCCCAGCTGATTACAAAACTGTCTTGGGGCAGAAATCTCATTAATAAATTAGATGGGAAGGCAAAATGCTAACCGTACCCTGACTTTTCATATTTCCCATACTCGAAGCATGCGAACGCGCTCGGCGCTGGCGAAGGATGGGCAGGTGAGGGAATTTCGTATTCCTTGCACGGCGTACAGCAGAATAATCAAAAATTAGATACACACCACGTCCATTTCCGCAATTTTATATCCCATTTTGGAAATTTAATAGCTGACACGGCAAAATTTACCACCAGAAAACGACCATTATGTAAGTGAAAATGATTCAGGATGGGATTTGTACTATTTTATTTATTTCCCACCCAAATCTTTCTGCTGTGTAGCAATTCGCTACGCATCAGTTTTGTGTTGCTTCTGCCTCGAATGTGCTTTTTTCGGCTCTCTGGGACATTATAATTGGTACAAATGACGATAACTTTGCTGTTAATTCTCGAAATCCCGAGGGAAATTTGAGTTGTTGCGTTGTTGCAAAAAGGCTCAATCAGTTGAGCATATTTATTTAGTACGTAAAACATTTTTTTTGCTAGTAGTCTGTGTGAAAAACTTTGGTGAAAGCATAAAATTTTCCCACTGATAAATGTCCCACTATTTGCTTTAGTTGAATACGCTTTTATTATTGCGATACTCAGAGTAAAAGTTAATCAGTGAATTTTGCGCATCTCTGTCAGCTAATTGAGAGAATAATCCCACAAAAATACATAAGCTTTCGAAATATATCCGTGAGCTTTCAACGGTGTGCTCTTGTTAAATTGTGACGGGAAAACTTTGTCAAATTAATCCAGCACTGCCAAATCCTCTACTCAAACTGTCCAAAATGAGAGCAGGAAGGAAATGGAAATGATTTTGCATTTAAAATTTTCAAATGTAATGTTTTGAGTGAATTTCTGTGCAAGTGAGGTGAAAATTTTCCACTCACATCCATGAAAATTCTCAGAAGCGTTTTCTATATGCCAAAAATGCTTTTGCAAATTGCAATTTGGTATGTTTTAGACGAATTTCAACATTACAAACTCAATTGAGAAAGTTTAATGTGTTTTGCAATAAATTCACGTGATAGAAAGCTATCTCGACCAGCAGGAATACTTTTGGCCATGATCATTGGAGAGGAAAAACACGAAATTTTCTAAACTGCTTAAGTGTTGTTCCAAATGCACTTGGCACATCGTTTGTGGCTTTGTAGTTCTGGATTTACAAGCTTTAAACATTACGAATGAAAATAGAAGGTTTAACGATGAGGTCCTGAGCAAGATTATCAATAAAGGAATTTCATCCCTTCTGAGTATTTACTGCGTGAATACAAAACGCAAATGATTTCTCATGGTTTTCTCGAAATATTTGCCCACAAATTTCCTATCAAAATGTGAAATTCTCCGCAATGGCGCGCTTATCACGCAAAAGGCAAGTTTCATTCGACAATTTCGCGAATGCCAACATCCGCGGGCGTTTGGCGAATGTAAATTGCAGCGGGTGACAAAGGGGTGCAGCGCTGAAACAATATTGTTGAAGGGAGACAAAGTTTCGGCCATTTTTCGTTGTCACACTAAAGATGTGTAATAAAGTGGGAGATGGGTTACACAAAGTAACAAATTAGGATCGTTTTCAGCACTAATTAAAGTTTTCCCATTAATGAAGGGGAGGCGAACTTTTGCTGCATGAAAATACCATATCTTTTACTCTCTTTGCCATGCAACCAAATCACTGGCGTGATGGAAGAAAAACTTACCAAGATACCGGACAAAAAACCATTCGCCAAAAACACGATGTTATGCAGCGTTGTACACAAAATATTCTTTGCAATGGTAATTTTAATCAGCTCAATTTCGTCTCTCTCTCTCTCTTCACTTTTTGCCTTGGAATAGTTTAAAAGTTTTTATATGCTGGTTTTCGAGCGAAAACCGCATGGAAAACTTACAACAATTTTAATGATATAGAAGGGAAATTTGACTTGAATTTAGATTGAGAATGATTTTTCGTGGAAAAGTGTGCGTTTTTTTTGTAATGGAACCCATGATTGTTCCTGTTTACTGGTTTCAGCTAAGTATTTTGCGAACTGATTTATACTGCAAGATTGCTTTAATGGGGAAAATCTCGGCAGAGAGCGTGACCGGAAGCAAATGATGATGGACTATAAAGTGAATAATTGCCACTTGCTCGGTCATTCTGGCTATTTTGATTTGATTTACC